CAGCGGGATTGGCTGAAAGCCACCCCCATCGTGTCATTTCCCAAGAGCAAGTGACAGCCAGCCGATGCCCTGAAAAGCAGGATGTCTCAGTTGTGAACCATGGAACCGTAGCGCTCTATTGGCATACGGAACCGTGGAGCGAGGGATGAAGGGAGGGAGGGAGGGAGGTCCAAGGGAGAGCGTGCGGTGTCTCCACCCGGCCTGATTAAACTTTTTACGCAGTGGCCACTGCGCGCCAACATCCATGAATCTATCGATCGAACCCGGCTCTACACCGGCCGATGCTTGCCCGAACGGTATATTGGCCCGTCTCTGCTGCGACAACTCGACAATGACCTGAATTTGGGGTTTGCGGAGAATGTCCCTATCTTATCTGCTCTGTCCTGCGATCTGCATGATCTGCTTTTTTTGGTCAGAGTCTCTCCGGGGACGGAGTTCAGCGGTTTCAGTTCTCCGGTGACTGGGGATAAAGAATGAACAGCGATCGAGCAACCAGAGACTTTTTTGTATATTTTCGGTAGAGACCGGGTTTTGCGCAAGGTGGCAAGGGAAATGAGTTCCGCCAGACTCCCGATTAGAGTTTGCTTTGTCTTTCTGGCCGGTGAATCGAAGCGTCTCTGGGAAAAACGCCTTCTGGAATGGACTGAAGCATCAAGAGTCGATAGAGGCAAACTCAACTAAAGAAGCACCTCAAGCTTAATCTACCAGATATGACGAAAGAGACCCGCACCCATGTGGTGCGAGTGACGATTTCCGCAGCTGAAGCGTATTCAAAACCACCGTTCATCCATAGTTTCTTCAATTTTGGTTTTCGGAACACATCCTTAATCCGTTCTGATCCGAACCCATATTTGTGCTTGTGTTTTGGATCTGAGGTCATTCACCCATGTTATGAAGATCCGTGCCGGAATTTCCGATCATGATGAGCGAGTCATGATGACTTCGACGCCGAAGGATTGAACGGCTTGTTGGTGGCACTTTTTCCAATTTCTCTGTGTCACTCAGTCGTATCGTTCCTGAAGTGTAGCCTGCATCCGGGGAGCTATGGAGTCAAGTGTCTCGTGCTACAAAGCTCGGCATCAATCGTATTACCCGCACTAATGGCGTTTGCTTGTTGACTGTTCCTGTTTGGCTCACCCTTATCCTCGTAGACCTTTCTCTGCGCAGTCGGCTTTAGGGACTGGGGGCTAGGCCCGACGATGCTATTCTCAGAGGTGGAACCTGCAAGGGTGCAGTAGTACCATCCTGGTGCGCTTCACGTTGGTGAGCTCGTGCAGGAAATAAATTAATAATAAGCTTGACTAGACTCAGGCTCTTCTCGGAGGCATCCGGACTAGTCTAGCCTGTCTTTGCTTGACGCCGACAGCCTCGGAGCAAGAGAGTACATGGGCTCCGTGTTGAAGAGTCCGCGGACCGTTTCTTATCCTCTCCTCGCCCCTGAGCCGAGGCACCATTGCAGCCTGGCGGTGTTCAGCCTTAGGCAGAAGTCGCAAGATCAGGTGACAAGCTTGTCAGTTCGGGGAAAAAGGGTGTGCCAATTGGCGGTCAGCTGTCCGCCTTCTTCATTTGACCTTCATATTGTACTTATCCTCATCCACAACCAATCACCCTACTGTTGTTCAAGTATCATTCTGAGGCCCGAATAATGCTTCTGGCTCATTATCGTGATGGGACAGTCAAACAGCCACAGAGTTATATCTCACCTTCGCTTCAGCTTTGTGGACGAAGGCTTCCCCTGCCAGGGCATCCTACACCAGATGAATCAGACCACCAGACATCCGCTTACTATGCTTCATCATCTTGATTATGATGGTTTTCATCCTCCACGTCAGTGATATTGGCTTAGAAATTGATTATCCATTTCCCTTTCAGCGGATCCAGTCCCAATTCCACTTCCGCCAATCATGTGCATCTCACATGTCGATCTTCTTGATTGCGGGGTAGTCTATCGATCGTGATCTCTTTCGATGCCAGCAAGCAATCCCAGACCAAAAGTGGTCGCTACTTTGATAGCTAATATTTCGAAGCTCCGGCTTCGAAGTCTTGTCTGAGGACTTTCGTCCAGATGTGAAAAAGCCACAGACTTCTTGCAACCCTTTCTAACCACTGTCACCCTGGCCAAGGCTCTTCATTGCAACCATCACGATGGCTATCACGTCATCGACACCCGGATTATGCCAATCCAGAACCAACCACCGGCCCAGAGTCGAGCGCATCAGGACTCAAGCTCAACCTCTCGCTGACAGCGTTTTCACGCTAGAGCTGCGTCTATGACTTGATAGCGGGGGACACGGCAGACAAGCCCTGGTCAGACAGGTCATACACAGGGGCCTTCCCGCACTGACACCGCGTTGTCTGTTATCTGATTGCGCGACAGGCAAGAGATATTTGGGATGACCGGACGGATCTCGAACCTAACATCATCGCCTAATCCAGCCCTGGCGCGAGGAACGCGCAAGCGAGAATCACGGAATGACAGGGGTATAACTTGAGCTTGCTATCATGTCCCACCCCTCAGCTGGTTCTATATAAACACCGTTCTTGCGCTGTCTGCTTCTCATTCTGCTCGGGGTATTCTTGACTTGAGTACGTTGATCTTGACCTATACACGAACCGGCCGGCTAGCGATAGAGCCATCACGATGGGGCGAAAGCTTGGTCTCTTCCGGGCTATTTGCCTTGTGTCTGCTAGTTGCATGGGCTCTTTCGCCTTTGCCTTTGACACGGGTGTCATCAGTGGGTGATACCATGCTCAAGCTTAATGATTTAATCTTTGGATGCTTATATAGTGCCTTACCTCAGGCGGCGTCCTCACCCTATCATCATTTCAGAATGATTTCGGATATACTACAGCTCAGAAGACCTCGGTGAATTCCAATGCTGTTTCTATTCTTCAGGCAGGCGCTTTCTTCGGCTGCTTCTTCACGACTCCCATTGCGAAGTATCTCGGTCGACGACTTGGGCTCATTGTTAGCTCATTGGTCTTTACTGTTGGCACCATCCTGCAGGTCGTCAACTCCCACACGCTGGGCACTTTCTATGCTGGTCGTGTTGTCGCCGGACTCGGAATTGGAGCTGCAACTGTATTAATTCCAGTGTACGCGGCCGAGATGTCCCCCAAAGAGTTCCGAGGTCGGCTCGGGGCATGCTTCCAGCTCTTCTTCACCTTGGGAGTCATGATTGCATACTGGGTGACATACGCTGTGGCCAAGGATCAGCCGTCCGCGACCAAACAATGGCAGATCGCGCTGGGTCTACAACTGCTGCCTTCTTCCCTCCTTCTGTTCGGGATGTTGGCCGTCAAAGAGAGTGCCCGTTGGCTTGCTTCTAAGGGCAGGATTGACCAAGCCCGCGAATCGCTCAAATGGGTCCGCGGAGGCGAGGAGACGGAAGAGCTTCAACAGGAGTTTGACGAGATCCTGGCCGGTATTGCAGAGGAGGCCCGGATTAAAGAGGGTTTTACTTTTCGCGAGCTGCTTCTCCCAGCTAACCGGTATCGCCTGTTTATCGCCTTTACTATCCAGCTCGCAGCTCAACTGACGGGAAATACGTCCCTTGCCTACTACGCGACGCAGATCTTCTCGGCGGTCGGCGCCGGCAATTCCAGCAAGCTCGTGACGGGCTTCTTCGGGCTGGTCAAAGTGGTCGGCGTGTGCGTCTTTCAGCTCTTCGTCCTCGACCGCGTCGGCCGCCGCTGGCCGTTCATGGTTGGCGCCGCCGCCATGGGCTCCTTCATGCTCATCATCGCCTGCGTGCTCGCCACCCACCCGACCAACGCCTCCGCGACGCACGCCTCCCCGGCCGGTATCGCCATGATCCTCATGACCTACTGCGAAGCCTTCAGCTACAACATGTCCTGGGGTCCGCTCCCCTGGCTCTACGTCGGGGAGATCTTCAGCAGTCGCATGCGGGAGATCGGGGTCACGGTGGGAGCAGCGTCGCAGTGGTTGTTCAATTTCATGATGTCGCAGATCACGCCGCATGCGATCGACAACATCGGGTGGCGGATGTTCCTGATGTTTGCCATCTTTAACTATGCGGTGGTGGTCTATGCGTATGTGTTTTTGAAAGAGGTACGTTTTTATTTGTTTCTTGGCTTTCAGATTGGCGTGTGGAATTGAATAAGCTGACTGGGTTGTTTTGGATTCAGACCTCGCAATACTCCCTAGAAGAGATGCAGCACGTCTTCGGTGGAGATAAGCCTCCTGGGGATGAGAAAATCGTAGAGACGGGCGAGGCGGGTCGGAACTCCGGGGAAGTACCGGAGGAGACGGGTGGGCACACGCATGTCACGACGCCGAAGGTGGAATGAGGTCGGGGTCAGTGGGGGGTGCATAGGGCGGGGGATGATTCCTGACCGTCGTCGACACATTTGAGCTCGATGGATCTCATGGCCTAGACGGTAATTAATGAGGATATAGTTTACCGTGCTATGCTTTTGCTGTGAGGGAAAGGACGAGTTTGCTACTCCACGCGTCTTTTGATGAAGTGTAGTGGTAGCCAGTAGGTAGTAGTCTGTGTGGCGTAGCCAGAGAGTAAAGTATTGCCAGTCAGCTGCCCAGCAAGCTGGATAATAAAAATAGTAAACAGGCGGTAGTAGTTAACCAGAATCAAGACCATAGATGCGAATATATAGAAGGCTCGAAGCGAAGCCAAGGGATGCTGGAGCGGATGAGGAGCTAGACTTGCTAGCCTGTAGCCGTCCCACCCACTCCCTGGCAATGCGGAGGAGGATTTTTGCTCCTTGTTGCTTCTTGTTCCACTGTGCTCCAGTGGTCAGTTTATGCCTCTCTCTCCGTGTTTATGCCGCCTGCTGGGTCATTGACTCTCCTCTATACCAATTGCCATTCTGCCGATGCTACCCCACTTCAATTGCGACAAGGAAAATAAAGCCCTTTATTTATATAGATTCTGTAAAACCGGCTAGACTCTGGTTAAATATTTATTAAACCTCTTCAGTCGTGTTACCACCTCAAACCCGTTGGACTGAAAGAGGAGGGAGGATCTAGGAGTTGACTTCGGAAAACAACTGATTGAGCCTCACCCACCCACTGTATGTTCGACACCATTCTCGCTAGGCGTTCTATAGCAGATAGGAAGGCAAAACTCTCCATCTCATTACTCGAGGTGGTAATACTCACAATTGCCTAAATCTCCACATGCGCTCCGGCACAATCCGAACTTGGCGTTTCTTGATATATGTCTGTGCTGTAGCTAAGAAAAGGGCTTGGTTGCAGATGGAAGTTGGTAATGGGGGTCAATGATCCATAGGAATTGGAGACGGACCTTGTACTGTTTATTAAGTTCTGGCATCTCCAGTCAGACAGTCTCTCATCACTCAGCCTTATCTTCGAACGGCCACGCTTTCTCCCACATGCTCCGTTCCTCAGGGGTCCTCGATTCCCGATCCAGAAACCTCTTCTTGGCCATTTCCAGTCTTCTCGCCATCTCCTCATAGTCACCAGGCGGAACAGCGCCATTCCACCCGGGATACACCCCTAATTCTTCGATCACTCGGGCTTTCCTCTCAACGTCTCTCTCCCATCGGGCGTAGTCTTCAGCCTGCCTCCCCAAGTCCCGCTCAGTGTAACTCAGAGGACACGCCACCCTCGGATCTCCGTGACCATCCACCCCGACAAGCTGTTTCCAGACCTCGTCCGTGGCCACGGTGGCAAGAAGTTTCTGGACATGTGACTCCCCATCGTCGAAGACCGATCCAACCAGACCCAGTAGATCCGACTGCACAGTCTCGTGGTACTTGAATGCATGCAGCAAGTCCGGCGCTTCCTTGTAAACCTGCGTCTCGTAGTAAAGCCAGAGGGTTTGAGCGAGATACAGCTCCCCAGCAGCCTTTTTGTCGGCGGGGTTCAGGTCGTGAAAATCCTCCGGAAGCTGAGGCTGAACAAATCGCTCAGGCTTCGGACCGTCATACTCGATGAGGGATGGGTGGTGGGCGATCAGGAACATCGGGTAGATAGGGACCGCTTGCCAGTCGATGATACTGGTGATTTTGGTGGGATGGTCCTGGTTCACAAAGACGTTGTCCAGATGAAGGTCGTTGTGCCAGATTATGCCGTTGTTGAGGGCTTCGTCCTTGGGAAGGAGATGTTGGTGTATGCGTAGGAAGTCTTGCAGGACGGATAATTTGGTTTCCATTCGGGGGTGGTACCCACCGGGTCCGTTGAAGATTCCCTGTTGGTGATCTCGAGGAAAGCTGGGGAGTTGGTAGATGCAGGCTAGCTCTCGCTGAACCAAGGCATGAATAGTGTCCTTCGTACACGGCCCTTGGTCATAGATAGGACGCTATCAGATTATGTGCGAGTAATCGCATAGTGGAGATTGTGAATATGAGCTTACAAGGGCCTCTAGGAACGTCGACCTCCGCTCTTTCATCGTCAAACCATGCTCGGCCTGTAGTTGGACCAATCGCAAAGGTATTATCAAATGCGATAGTCTCGGACTCTGCGATGTCCTCACGAAGGTACAACGAGCCGTGAGACGGAAACCTTCCCGAAGAAACTCGAGAAGTGATCGAACCGATTTGCTTAACGATAGACAGTTTGTCACGCGGCTTGAGAGTGTCCCACACGCGGCTCAGCTCAACACCGGGAGCCTTCTCCATCACGATGTACTCGGCGCCTAGCTTACTATTGCCGGCCCGGGAGCAATACATTAGGACTTTGGGGACCGGAATTTGGAGGTTCTCCCTTGCCTTCGTAAAAGTTCAAAGCAAACATTAGTCACACTGAATATGCTGAATCTCGTACTTGGAGCTGGGCGAGTTCTCACATATCGCATCGTTGCCACTTCTGATGCGGTGGTGTAATGAGTAGGACCTGCGTTTGGATTGGGGATCTTGACCACGAGCTCCGACCCATTCCGCATGGTCACAAGGAATGCCTTGTTGAAGTTCCCTTCGGGGAGTTTGGAGATGTTGGCGCACACGGCATTGTTGCCGGCGGCTTGCTCGGCAACGTGGATCAAAGCATCCAGGTCAAACGCGCGATACCTGCTTTGCAGCTGCTGGGCTTCGTTCCACATCCATCGCTGAGCCGAGTAGTTATGAAGATCTTCAGCATCGCAATCTGAATTGAGAAATCAAAATCTAGTGAGCCAGGTTCCACCACTACCCACGAGATAAGGGAGATAATACCTAGGGATATCGTTGCCGAGCTTTGCCATCCCTTAAACATCATGGACAGCGACCGACGTGTTATTGCAGGGAAACGCGAGCCACTAAGCAACGACTTTAAGCTTGAAGCCCCGCCGAGTGTTATTGACATCTCAACCGGGTGATGCTTTGGGTGATTAACAACGTAGTAGTATAGGAGAGTCCGTTCCACAGCAATCTCGATGTTGGACGGCTCTATTGGGTGCGCGTCACGTGAAGCACTGGCTTCTTGATTGTTTGGTGACGTGACTTGTTGATTCTCTTCGCACTTTCCTTATCAATCACACATTGGCCCCATTCGGAGGACTTTCTTGATGTATGCATATTGGCACTGTGGATGATTCTCTATCTGGGAATACCTTGAACCTAGGTAGGGGCACTGTACCGTTGCCTATTTGGGTAGGAACCCCGAATGAGAACAAAGACGAAGGATAGTGAAGTCTTGAGGCAGGAAGATGGCTGAATGAAGAATCATAAAAGCTGAACTGAGTAAGATGGCGTAAGTGCTGACGAAAGATATTGGCAATGCCCGTTGTCAAACACGATCCACGAGGAGCATCGAACCTTTTATATACTTCCGATGCATTCTTTGCTCGAGAAAGTCCGAAGTATGGGTCTTTCATTGGCTAGAACACGACGCAAAAGGCACTGGGTAGGTACCTCGACGCGCTTACTCCTTGTGGCTCCTGGCAAATGAAGTTGTCGATATCGGGGCAGACGCGGATAATGCTACCCCGCAACATATTAGCCGGATTGTGATCATATTCTATGTGGCTACTATCATTCTATCATGTACTGTACAATGTACTGTACAATATCCGACCAACAGCATCAGCAGCATACTTTTTTGTGGCTACTGACTGCCCAGTCATCGATCATTAGTGCTGGCTGACCCTAGTGAGGAGATCTCGCCTCCATCTTCCCGCATCTATTTCTTCGTCACTTCGTTTACGCATTGACACAGTCAGGGCATCTCTACTTATATCAGCAACAGGAATCTACGACCGCAAGACGGCCCAGTTTCTGCTGTCCCGAGCAAAAGGGATGATTGGGTGGTTCACGCACAGATCATGATAGTACTCCAGTCGAAAAGGGTGGTAAGCACGTCCGTATCTCTTCTCGGTTTGCCTGAAGAAGCTGATACGAAAATTGTTAAGCGTCGGTCTTCAATTTCTCACCCCTCTCCCATTTGGCCTCCTGTGTCCTGTGGACTCACCGATCGCTTGCCGGATGGAGTCTTGGGCGGTCCACGGAGGTCAGGCCCCTCGGAGCAGCTGACGTCCTCGATTTCTGTCAGGTAATCATAGTGAGGGAACTAACCAAGAACACCCGTCAGCTCTGTATCTCTTGAGAATGTACTCAGTGGGGAGGTACCAGTGATTTATCCGCCTGTTGGCGGTGCGGGTCTGTTGGGCCGGCTGCTACCAACGCAGTCAGCATAGCCACGAGATAGATGAGCTGCATCCTGAATGTGGGCAGTTGGGATGAGAACAAAAACTGCAGCAGAGAGGAATGAGAGGCACAAGGGTGAGTGAAGATAAACTGTAAAGCAAAAAGGTTTGCGAATTGCCGGACTTTCGGTAGTTTTATGTACCACGCATTGCAGCCATATCTGGGGAGTACTACGGAGTACCACGAGGAGATATGACAGATCCCGAATCATTCGTCTCTCATGCGGCAGCGTCATGCAGGCGGGACTAGGTAACTAATAATTGGGCTATGCATGCATAGCATCAATTATAGGTACAACGGATTTCCTAGTAACTATGCGTGCCAGCACAAAAGTGGGTCGAAGTATAGATTGGTCCCTGATGGTTTTGACTTCAATAGGGCCTTTCCGTCGCAGGGAAGACTGCAGATGCTAAATGACTATCGGTACTTATAACCAATTCCCTGATCAGTCAGAAGATCTTGCATGGTTTTATTTTCAAATTACCGGGAACACATAACCCAGGCTCTTGAGGAGAGCCTGCTTGCGGGACAATCCTCAACTTTAGGTCGCAGTTAGCGACACGGACTTGACCTTGGCCAGAAGGTCTCCCATGAACCGATCATATCCCAGAAGTGCTGCGATGTCCTCTAACAGCCTGGGCTGTATGTAGGGTCCGGCTGTACCATACAAATTGCAACATACTACGGAGACTACTTAACTATTAACTAATGCAGTTCATTGGCCCATGACGCCTTTCCGGTCTGACGAGCCTGTATCCTAGACTCGCAATCTACGACCATCGATGGTTAGTTCTAGGTGGAGCACGAGCTATTCTACCATAGCAGTCATACTTGCCCGTATACTTGTCGCATTATCAACTTCCAACTAAGTGCTGTTCAGTACAATACATATGGTCATAGAGCCGGCATCTACTCCGAGATTGCACCCCCCCCCTCCTTTCCCCCGTCACTTTGTTTCTGATGTGGTCCTCCGTACTGTCCAGTACATCACTTTCCCGGAAATGCTGCTCTAGTCAGTGGCAAGGTCTAACTCAGGCCAAATGCTGCCGTAAGGTTGGATTTCGTGGTTACATACGGATGCTTCCACCGATCTGCACCGCACCAAGAATATCAGTATCTGCCTCCGCCTCATTTTGTCTCCGGTGCGCACCAAGTTGCTGTCCAAATATTAACTGTCTGTTTTCCAATTACCTTCAATGCTGACTGCCTCCGTCACTCACCGATCGCTTGTCTGATTGTTCCCGGGACCCATGGATCTCCGACCTGCTAGCCCCCCCGACGCCCGGTGTCTTCGCCAAGTGACCGTAACCAGAGTGCGGGACCTGATTCAAGAATACTGCCAGCTCCGTATCTTTCAATGCCGTCTTCCGAATGAGCTTACCACAGAGTGATCCGCTTGCTGGCCCTGCGGATGCAACGGAGCGGCTGCTACCAGCGCACTAAGCATGGCCACGAGGTAGAGTAGTCTCATAATGTATGTCGGCGGTGGGTAAGGCACGAAGGCTGCAATATAGAACGAGGAATGGGGACGGATGAAGAGCGACTGTGAAGCAGGAAGTAGCTTATTGTTGGAGTCTTGGTGCTTGAAGAATCGGTGACTGCAGTCATTCAGGTCTGAGGATGCCTAGCACGAGCCTGGAGATATGACAGGTCAATTGTGAGTAGTACCGATGACTCACGCGGCAGTATGATGCAGCGGATCACTGGTAGTTGACCCAGTCGTGCATGGCAAGTTATTGAAAACGTACTCACCAGTGGGTATGCACTCACCTGAAACTATAGATGTGCACAAGGCGGAGAGTAGATCGAAGTACTGGTTGGCAAAGTGGTTGACTTCAATGATCTTCTCACCGAGTAGAAGGATTGCAGATGTTGATTGAATATTCATGGTCAATTCCCCGATAATCAGCCAGCAGATGTGACTTCTTGCATCTGACACCTCGACAGATCCTGCATGTTGTGGGTCTGAAGATGCTGAGTCGGTCAGTGCTTTGCTGATGACCAGCATCGGACTCTCCAGGCTGTCGCTCAGTTGGCTCAGTCCTCCATCGCCAACCTTACCTTCGGAGCCACAAACCGGTTCACACATCCCACGAGGGCCAAAAGTGCCGGAGTGCATCGAATCGTGGGAAACATACAAGAGCTACCGGCAACAGCGCCAGACCTCCACCGGCCTGACAGCCCGGAAGGCTTTGATCGCGAACCTCAAGAGTCGTGTTCCCTCGTCCGAACTTGTGGAAGACGAAAACCTCTACCAAACAACGGTGTTCACCGATCACTTTCGACTGGAGCTCGACCAGGAAGACATCCTAGGGCGCGGCGGCAGTGGATTCAATCTACGGTGGCACCTGGATCCCGCTGAGTGACGCAGCCAATCGCCAGTTGGATCTGCTGGGCCAGCAGGACGTGGCTGTCAAGGTCTCGCACGACCCGTGGCTGCTATGGGAGGCCCATATGATGGATTTGGTACAGGGTCCTCACGTCATACGGGCCACTGCTACTCTCACAATCTCTCAACCTAACGATACCCAGGCACAGGATGGAGCCGTCTATGCGATGGTCATGCCGCGGCCACGCGGCAGTCTGCAGTCGTGGGCTAATGAACTGCCGCCCGACAATCGGGCTCGGCAAACACTGCCCGTCATGCTGCAGATGGTCGAAGCGCTGGCCCAGCTCCATCGACAGGGCTTCGCGCATCAGGACCTGAAGCTCGGAAACATGGTGTATGACCGCACACCGACCGGGGAGATGCGTGTCCTGACCTCGGACCTGGATCGCGTCACTCGCTCGCGTCATGTTCGCGGCAGCGCGGGGACGCTGGGGTATCTCTCGCAGGGTAGGTCACAGTTTTCACACTCTTAATTTTCTCTTCGTACTGCTGTACGCGATCACGGTTGGGATGCTAACCTGCAGCAGAGATTCTACTGGGAAAGACCTTTGATCCGGTGAGCTCTGATGTGTTCGCGATGGGAATGGCTCTGCTTCACTTGACTTTCGATAGCATGTCTACTAAAGACTTTCGTATGCTGGCGTGGAGAACAGTGGTCGATGCCGCCAAGCCATCCAAGGTCAAACAAGCTTTAGTAGACTTGTTTGGTAGTGATGTGAATGAGCTTCCGCTAGATCTGTTTGCAAGAGCGTTATGCGAGCAAGAGGGGCATGACGAAGGAGAGTGGAAGCGTCGTATAACGGCGGAGGAGCTTTTGACGGAGCTAAGAGCGATGATAGACGGGGGACTGTGGTGATTCAATTGGTGCATAGATTATACTGAGTAGTAACTACAATCTGTAGAATCCGGATATATGTTTGCTTCGTTTGAGAGGGAAAGGCTCGACCTCGGCATTTCCTAATCGGGCGACTAGCCAGAATGCGTACCGCAGTATAGGTGCAGGTGCGTCATGATATACTCGTAGTCCCAAAGTCTGTGCCTCTGTACCTTGGGATGAGAAAGGTAGGTACCTGCAATGACATCAGTTAGATTAAGTTGATCACTGAGCATTAAGTACCATGAGAATCACAGAATTGGGGGGTTGGGGAATTGGGAATTAGGAATTGGGGATTGGGAACTACCCCGACCTCGGCATTCGCGCCGACCGCAATTCCCCGCATTTCCGCCTCCACACCGATTCCTCCTACTTCTCTGCAGCTTCATTGTCCGACCTCCTTCTTCCTCAATCGTCTCTTCCGGTTAGAGAACTCCCTCATACTTCCATGCCTGTTTAAATCTCACTCAAAGCTCGTCAAAACTCATTCGACACAATCAGCCTCCCAAGATGGTCGCTGCCATCCGTATCGCCCCCTCGGCCTCCACACGCGCCCTCAACCTCCTGCGCACAGTCCAGTACACGCATCCGCCCTCCTGTCCGTGCCATTCCAATCCCAATCACCATCATCACCATCGCACACCCACTCTCAGCGAACATGTCCGTCGTCACATGGCCACCCCGACAGACCCTTCGCGCCAGAAGGAATACGCCTTTGAGATGGCCGCCTCGAGCATCCGCTTTGGGCCGGGAGCCACCAAAGAGGTCGGCATGGACTTTGCCAACATGAAGGCGAAGCGGGTGTGCATTGTGACGGATGGGAACGTGGCCAAACTGGATGCTATGAAACAAGCTGTCGAGGGGTTGTCGCGGGAGGGCATTGAGTTCACTGTCTTTGACAAAGTGCGCGTGGAGCCCAAGGATAGCTCGTAAGCTCCCACCATCGTTTTCGTCGATTCGTGCAACATCTGATAGCGACTCAGAGTCAAAGAAGCGATCGCATTTGCCAAACCATACAATCCAGATGCCTTTCTCGCCGTTGGTGCGTATTTTCCCCAATTGTGTATCCCTTGCTAACCCCCGCAGGCGGCGGTTCCGTCATCGACACCGCCAAACTGATGAATCTGTACACCGTCTACCCCGAAGCCGACTTTCTCGATTTCGTCAACGCTCCACTGGGCAAAGGGCTGCCTGTCGCCAAGGCCCTCCGACCATTGATCGCCGTCCCGACGACCGCGGGTACGGGCTCTGAAACCACGGGCACCGCCATCTTCGATCTGGTCTCGAAGAAAGCCAAGACGGGGATTGCGCACCGCAACCTCAAGCCCACGCTCGGTATTTGCGACCCGCTCAACACGCGGACCATGCCGTCGGCTGTCCACGCCTCCTCCGGACTGGATGTGCTGTGCCACTCGCTCGAGTCATGGACGGCCATCCCGTACAACGAGCGTACCCCCCGTCCCACCAACCCGATCAACCGCCCGGCCTACCAAGGCGCCAACCCCATTTCCGACATCTTTTCGCTGCAGGCCCTCCGCAGCACGGTCAAGTACCTGCCCCGGGCGGTCAAAGACCCGGAGGACTTTGAAGCGCAGTCCCAGATGCTGTTGGCCGCGACGCTGGCGGGCGTGGGATTCGGCAACGCGGGCGTGCATCTGTGCCACGGGATGAGCTATCCCATCTCGAGCCAGAACCCGGGCTACAAGCACGCGGGCTACGACGTCGACCACCCGATCATTCCGCACGGAGTGTCGGTGGCGGTGACGGCGCCGGCGGTGTTCCGATTCACGGCGGCGTCGAACCCGGACCGACATTTGGCGGCGGCGGAGGCGTTCGGCGTGGACATCTCGAACGTGAAGCGGGAGAGCGCGGGCGAGGTGCTGGGGGAAGCGCTGGCGGACTTCTTGGTGAAGCTGGGCGACCAGCCGCGGGGATTGAAGGATCTGGGGTTCCAGCGGGGGGATATTGAGTCGTTGGTAGAGGGGACCTTGCCGCAGAAGCGCGTGTTGGATCTAGCGCCGAACTTGAACAGTGAGTTGGAGGGGGAGAAGGCTGAATTGCGGGCGTTGTTGGAGGAGTCGATGGAGTATTAGTTAGCTGCATACCTAGCTTGAATGCACCTGCCTTCTACTAAAGCATACCCCCCGGTCATCCCCGCATTCCATCACGCCTGCAGATCATCCGACCAATTCTCAATCTTTTCATATAAGTAGGTAGTACTGCACACTTTCTTTTCCCCTTTCATCCACTCCTCAATTCTCCCCAATTCCCCTATTCCCCAATCGCCCAAAATGCACCCTCCCCTCCCCATCCCCGTCATCCCCCTCTCCTTCTTCACCCTCACCCTCACCCTCTCCCTCTCCCTCCTCCTTACCCCCCTCCCAGCCCACGCAACAACAAACCCCCAAACCCCCCTCGAACAAGACCAATCACCCCCCCAACAGAATACAGAGAAGACAGTCAAGACAGGCAACCCCCTCCCCCTCCCCGGCCCATGGCCCTGGTACGCCGACCCAGAAGCCCACCTCTTCCCGCACACGGGCCCTTCCTCCACCCAGAACTACTGGCTCTACCCGACCTACAGCGCGGCCTACGAGGAACAAACCTTCTTCGACGCCTTCAGCTCCCCCGACCTGATCAGCTGGACCAAACACCCCACCGTCCTCAACATCACGCAGATTCCGTGGTCCACGAACCGCGCCGCGTGGGCGCCGTCCGTCGCCCGACGACCCATTAAAAAAAGCAAGAGTGCTTCTCAAGCCGGCGACAAGTCCAGTTCCAGCGCAGACACAGACAACCCCCCTCCCGAAGAAGCCCCAGAAGGGGAGTACGAGTATTACATGTACTTCTCCACCGGCGACGGCACGGGCATCGGCGTCGCGCGCTCGACCACCAACTCGCCCGCGGGGCCGTTCGCCGACGCCCTCGGCCGACCACTGGTCAACGGCACGGTCATGGGGGCCGAGGCGATTGATGCGCAGGTCTTCGTGGACTATCCTGCCCCAAATCAAAACTCCGGGGGTTCTGAATGGGATTCCGAAGAGGGCGCCGGGACACCCCGCGTCTGGCTGTATTTCGGGGGCTGGGGGCATGCGGTCGTGGTGGAGGTGGATGCGGAGAGTATGACCGCCCTGAAGGGGCAGTTTGTGGAGATCACGCCGCCGGAGTATGTGGAGGGGCCGTGGGTGTTGAAGCGGAATGGGGTTTATTATTTTATGTATTCGGTCGGGGGGTAGGTTTTCCCTTTTCTTTTTGGGGGACTGGGCTGGATTGGGCTCAACTGACTGGTTTGATAACGTACAGTTGGGGTGATAACTCCTACGGCGTCAGCTACGTGACGGGTCCCTCGCCGACGGGGCCGTTTACCTCCACGCCGACGAAAATCCTGCAGGGCAACGACAAGATTGGCACGAGTACCGGCCATCACAGTGTGTTGACGATTGGCGAGGAGTACTATATCGTCTATCATCGACGGTATCCCAACGATACGGCGCGGGATCATCGCGTCGTGTGTATCGATCGTATGGAGTTTGATGCGCAGGGGAATATCCTGCCGGTGAATATCACGCTGGAGGGGGTGGAGGCGAGGCCTTTGTGATTGCTTTGTTTTGAGATGGTGTCCTGGGGGGTGAGGATGTAGAAGTTACGTTGTGTATAGGCTACGCTGTGTATACTTGACCTTCCTCTCCACGCAAGAGACAGGAAGTGTCCAGGTGGTTATAGAACTACGTGTATAACGAAGTTCCTATCCAAACAAAAATCCATTCGCATCTCATAGCAGGTACTGCAAGGGTATCATTTCAAAACATCGAACTCCGCTTCTTGCTCAACTTCGCCTCATCCGCCGACGACCGTCGTAATCGGAAAAAACTGCTCTTTTTCGGCTGCAGCGCCGGTTTCCCTTGTTCCTGTTGCTGCTGCTGCTGCTCCGGCGACAACGAAAAGCGCACCACCGACTGGTGCCGCGGATCCACCCGCCCTGCTCCATGAATCCGGGGCCGTCCATCCTGGTACGGATAACTGTGCGGCTGTGGCGGATGCGCCGGCCTCAAGGGCAGACTCGGTGCAGGAGCGGCAGCAGCACCACTCATCCGCGGGGGCAGCGGGCCCGGGGCCCCGGACGCCTGCATGCGCACGCGCTCCTCCTCCTGCCCGTAGATCCTCTGCAGACGGAGCGTCTCGCGATCAATCTCCGCCTGGCGCGCCGCCTCGCGTTGTCGCCGCGCCCGCTCCTCTTCCTCCAGTAGCAGCCGCGTGCGGCGCTCCTCCTCTTTGCGCCAATTCTCCGCCGGCGATGCCGCAGGCTGTGATTGCGGTAGGGGTTTCGACAGCTGTTGCGATGACTGTCGTGACGTCGGTGATGATGACGACGCTAGAGGCGACGAGGGCGAAGCATTCAAAGCCCCCGGTGCTATAGCCACCGAGGACCCCATCGTCGTACCAACCACAGGTCTCTGCTGCTTAGCTGGCGCCCCCTCCCTCCCTCCACCCCCAGTCCCCGAAACTGCTGCTGCGGCAGGCCCAGACTTCCCCACCCGGAATGCCTCCCGCAACCCCTGCGGCGCAAACCAGACATCCCTGATCGTCACGGCGGCCAACAACAAGACCACCTCCAGCCCCTTGAAATCCTCCATCTCCACCCGGTAGAGGTTCGGCTCATACAGGGTCAACTCCTTCAGCGACTGGAACATGGCGACGGTGATATCCGGCTCCTTCGCCTTCATCTTGGACTCCGGAAGTGTCGTCGTCTTGCCCGACAGCACGCACGTCAAATCCTTGCTCAGCTTGCTGTCCTTGCGCCACGCGAACCGCAGCTTCGGGGTGATGTCGGCGGAGGCCGGGTCGGCCTGGGTGCGGTCCAGCCGCGACGTCGACGGCTGCCGGAAGCTGTGCTGCGGCATCTCGAACCACCAGATCGCCGGGCTGTTCCAGGACTTGGGCTTGAAGTGGACGGTGACGGTTTGGTCAGGGTTGTACAGGTTGATGGTGAAGGTGGTGGGGAGGAGGGGCTCGGGCGCCGGGGTGGTGCCGTTGTTGGCGCGGATGGCGTCGGCGGACAACGAGGGCGTCGTCCATTGCGGCAGGATCAGGACCTCCCCGTACAGGATGGAGGGGACGTGGGCGTCGTAGAGGGCGGCTGCGTAGCGGTTGTGGGCGTCCGCCGGGGTCGGGGTCGTGGTCGTGGTCGGGTCCGGGTGTCGCAGGGTGTAGGTCGGTTGCGGGTCGTTGCCGTGTTGGTAGAGGTGGATGGTGGTTTGGTGGGGGGTTTGGCGGGAGGGTTTGAGGTAGAATGCTATTGTAGAGGGTTGGTCAGTCAGTCAGTCAGTCGCGATGTTGTTGGGTTCATTGTGCAGGTTGTGCAGGTTGTGGACGGGCGGGTATACAAGGGAAGAGCATAAGAAGGCAGCAGACATACTAGGGAGGTTCTCGTCGAGCATGGTGCTGGTTACTTCATTCACCGATCATGAAAAGATTCCAAACGAAGGTACCAATAGACTGGATGCCATTGGAGAAGTTATATACTCGACAAAAGAGTGAACGAGTCTCGGAGTGTCGGTCTGGATCTTGTTGTCTGGGGATTGTTGGATGATGAAGGGAAGGATGAAACACAAGCGCGGGAAGGTATGGGAATTGGCTGCCTCAGGCCATCGGGGCACTGCTTTGCCCCACCCGCTATTAATAGCTTTTTCTACTACATATGTACGGACCGACTCACCAACAGGTCAAATATCGTCAGTATAGCTGACATTCATTCCTGACATCTACATAGGCAACAAGAATCCTGCGGGCAGGATTATCGTTTGTTTTTCTTTTTCCCAGACAAAAGCAGGATCCGACAAATAGGCACCATGGTTTCTAGTCGCATTGTCGAATAGAAACCGCCTCTTTCTGCGTGCCGACATGCCGATGATTACTGTCTTCGGCTACGGTCCGGGCTCCCTGTCGCCAACCTAGAGCGGAGTTCTCAGTATAAGCCTTCTGATCCCAGGCAGACGCATATTTCAATGTACTGTGTGGACGGTGGAGTTTGATCAACAGGCGGTGGAGTGTGGCTTAGTGGTTATTTGACCGAGTACATCACTCTGCATCCTGCCAACATTCTCTCGGAGGATAAGGCATACAGCCATCACTATAGACTAGAGGTGACGCGACATGCAGCAAGGAGTCCAAATTTCTACACTGGCTGCTTTATTCTTAACGAAAGAAGAAAATATCACCTTGTATTCAGACTCATTTATTGGGAAAGACGGGGTCGCGCGCATACTACCTGATAATCATCCAGATATATCAAGGATCGCACAGATCCCACTAGATAACAATCACCAGCTGCATCAAGCCACACACACCAGCTAGATCTCTACTTATGCATGTCACGGCCCCTGCTCACGGCAGACAGCCATTCTAGTAGACTCGTCTTAGCTTCGCCCCGTGGAGAGGCTACTAGACCCCAGCACCGCGGTGAGGTGCGAGTCTGTTCGCTGAGGGCCTGTCATGTTAGCTGGGGCTTAAGAGGTGGAGCTTACCTGTGGTCAAGTTGTGTAAATCGAAGGAAGGATCGAAGGAGGGAGGACGTTCGGAGGAGGACGCTCGGACGGAGGACGGAGGATGCAGAGTATCTTGGTTAGGTTATAGTCTAGTATAGTATGGTATGGTCTCACCAAGGATACTCCGGCAGTGGCGTGAGATCGACGGAGGGAGGGAGGACGGAGAAGGAGGACGGAGGAGGATGGAGGAGGACGAGGCATGAGAGTCTCGAAGGCGAGGGTGTAGTATAGTCTAGTCTAGTCAGTGTTGTATCGACACCTCACCCTCTCATGCCTCGAGGCGATGGAACAGACGTGTGTCTGCGGTCTCTCATAAGGTCAGCAAGGTCAATTCTTCCAACGGGGCTACAGGAGCCTTGGGTGTAATAAGGAAGCGGAGATGCCGTCTCAAAGTCTGATCAGATCAGTCCTCGGCGTGACATCTCCAAGGATACATGAGTCTGAAAGTCAAGGGGAAGAGAAGGGGGGATGAGAAGAGCGCAAAGGTGAGAGGAGAAACATGGGGATGTCGGGGTAAACAAAACCAGTCATATTGATTTTTGTGATTCACGCAGCGTGGGGAATCGTGTGTTACTGCAAACAGTCAATTAGGGTCTGGGTTACTGAGCTGGATGGACTTTTATGGACAACCTCATAGACAAAGACATTCAGTACGCTGTTGCTGTCTTTATCCTTGAAGTTTCTTGGAAGGGACAATGCTATTGTTCGATCATGATCAGCGGACCAGTGCACATAGACCAGTAAACAAGGGATTCTTTGCTGCTATATAGTCTTTCTTTCATGCATTATTTACTTTATCAATGATCTTTCAAGAAAACCTCTCTCTAAGTGTAAAGTCAGGCAATCTCAATCTAAGCGCGAACCCCATCTATTTCCTTGCCCTCGGGCACTTTGGCAGCCTCACGCTCCGCCGTACTCAGCTGCAACCCCTGATCATCCCAGCCCTGCGTACCGATCTTATACAGCATTTTCTGCTGCTCCCGGCTCGGCGTCGGGCCCGACTTCCCACGCCGCTGCCGCGACTCGAGAGTCTCGACCAAGGTTGCATTGTCCCCATCCAGCGGATATCCCTCGAGATCATCTCTGTCCTCCTTCTCCGAGAACACGTACGTGCGGTACTCCGTATTCGACCAGCCAGTTCCTGACCCGTGTTAGCTTTGGTCCGAATCCCAAACAAATGCATCATGACCACCTACCCTGGAACTGACTGCTATCTTCCCAGTCCTCCGTGAAGTAGTGCAAGAACCCGCCATGCGTGACCAGAACAATCTCCTTCTCCGGTCTACCCTTCAACCACCGTCTCGCCGCACGGGCTCTATCCTTGATCGCCTTGTTGGTGGGGGCAAATCGACCGGACTGTATATCCCCCCCTCTCCATTAGCACATCTGGTCATCCCAAACAAAAAACGAACAGGAACAAATTACCTTCACGTTCCAGCCTTCATAGACCAAGCTCAAGTCCACGGGTAGGTGCTTCTCCTCCATCTCCTTGCGCAGAACGTCCGGGTCACTGCCCGTGTCGCACGCCACATCGCTGGTCTCTTGGGCGTCTGGGAGAGCAATCACTTCGAGACCGGGACGAGCCTTGAAGACGGGCTCGAAGCTCTGGAGGGCGGTGTAGATGGTGCGGCGGAGGGGGGAGGCGGTCACCAGGTCAATGTGTTGGTGGCGAGGAAAAGTATCGCGGAGGGTGCTGCATTGTTCGTTGCCCAAGTCGGTTAGGAGAGGATCGTGGATGACGTGGTTGGCGGTGCAGAGGTTATGGACGCCCTGGGCGGAAGGCGTTAATCATAGGCAACTCTCGATTCGAGCAAACTACGTACCTGGGCGTGGCGGACGCAGTGAACGATTGGTGGCATGGTTGATCTATATGTTATAGGTAAAATTGTGGTCTGAAGCGGAAGGATCAAGGTCAGCATAGAGTCAGAGCAACGTGGGGTAGCGGGGCTGATAGTGAAATTTGGATAAGGAGGGGAGACGCCACAATCTGATGCTGTAGATGAGGTGTAAACTTACTTCCGGTATATTTGTAGGTATAAGAATCAGTTTCAATAGTCTATCCAAAGGCAGAAGAAGCGGGAAATTGTTCGCAACAAGGGGCGAAGATCAAATTGAGGAGGAAGAGAATCAGAAGTTCAAGAGAGGAGAAGAAAGATGGATGAATCTATGCCGAGAAAAGAGCCCGAAAGAGCGGGTACGGTACA